GTAGTCATTGTTATATTTAATAAGACTCCTTGTTTTTTCATTAAGAGATTCAATTTTCATTATTATTTTTGTGATTTATGGTCCCTTAAAAAATTAAAAAAAAATATAAAAAAAAAGTGGTTGAACCGGTTTGACCCACCGGTTCACCGGTTGAACCGGAAAATTGACCGGTTCAATCCGGTTTGAAACGGGTCGACTGCATAACCGATCCAACTTCAGATTCGAACCGGCTGGACCACCGGTTCCCGGTCCAACCGGTCCGACCGGCCGGTCGGTTCGGGTTTTAAAACACTGGTAAATACAATGTAATTATTACATTGAATATTCATCTATTACTTGCACTGTATCTTAAGAATGTTGTTTTTTTTTTCTTTTCTTAGAGTAAATCATGGTTTACTTTCATTATTATATTTCATTATTATATTTTGGATTATATTGTTCTTATTTTATTTACTATTATTATGAATTATTAATGGTTATTAATGTTTCACTATACATTATAGATTGTTAGAAAATGGACACATACTTCAAGAAAACATAGAAGAGATGAAGAAAAGGAAAAAGAAAACTTGAACAAGCAATATTCATTATTTTTAGTGTTGTTACTTTGCCTTTGGGTGTAATGGCTTGGTATCATGGCAAGTACTTTGTAAAGGAACCAACACAAAATTGGAAATTAGAAAGGTGCAGTTTCCTCAATTGTATATATAGGGGATCAGAAAAGGATTGCATTGAACAACTATAAGGGTCAGTAAAAGGAATTTTTTTTAAGCTTTATACAATTTTACTAGAGAAAGGACAATTAGTAAGAACAGGAAATGTCCTTACAATTGAAGTTGTGGCAATGTTTTAGCATATTCCTGCTCACAACCCTAAGCATAGAGTTATGCACTTTAGTTATTGTAGGTCCAAAGAAATAATAAGTAGGCAATTTAATAATGTCTTACGAGCTATAATGAAAGTAAGTAAAGAATATTTGAAGTTTCATGACTGTAATGTAGTGGGATCAGAGGAAAATAAATGGAGATGGTTTGAGGTAATTTTGATATTTTTAGTTATTGTAATGCACTTTTAGTTATTCTAACTTATTTATGATTTTAAAATGTCTAGAATTCAATTGGAACACTTGACGGGACACATATTTCGACAATTGTAATCACAAAAGATAAGCCTAGATATCATAATAGAAAAGATGATATCTCTACAAATGTATTAGGAGCTTGTGGTCTAGATTTGAGGTTTATATATGTGTTACTTTGATGAGAGGAGTCATCTAGTGATTCTCGAGTACTATGGATGCTTTACATCGTCAAAATCATCTCCAAATTCAAATGGTAATATCATCAAAATGAAGATACTTTTTAATATATAAAAGATAATTGTATAATTTATATGTTTATTTTTTGGAATACCATTACATGTAAATATTTCTTGTGGATGCGGGATATACAAATGGTCCTGGATTCTTAGCACCTTATCGAAGGACTAGATATCATCTTAATGAGTGGATTGAAGACACCCCTAAAAACTACAAGGAGTTGTTTAACCTTCACCATGCAAGTGCAAGAAATGTAATTAAAAGATCATTTGAAATATTAAAAAAAAAGATGAAGTATATTAAAAACTCTTTCTTCTTTTTTTTTTTTTTTATATAAAAACACAAATAAGAATTATTAAGGTATGTCCAATGCTACATAATTTCATAAGAGGTGAGTAACAATGTAGCCCACGACTTGAATTTTTTTATCAATCATTAATCATGAGTTAATCAATCAACAAATGAAAAGAGTTAAAAGTAATAATGCAAATGAAGTTACAATTATTCAAGCAACTGAGGAACGGACAATATTTCGGGATACTTTAACAATGAATATGTTGCTAGTTATCAAGTAAGAAGAAACTTTGATTAGAGATTGCATTTTTAGTAGACTTTTGATTTTAGTTCCTTTTATGTATGTGTGATACTTTGGAACTCAATGGACAAGATGTCATAAAACACTCACAAATTTTGATATTAAAAATATTTATTTGATTTTTTAAAGCCTCAAGATTGAAATTAAGATTTATTGTAAATAATATCAAGAGGTTTGTTCATATTAGTAAAAATTAGTTAGTAATAATGTTAAAATTCTTTTTCACGTTAAGTAAAAAAATTAAAAAATAAATATTTTATTTAAATAATATAACTTATAAATGAATTTTTATTTATTTTGAATAAAATATTTTATAAATAAAAAATTTAAATATTTTATTCAAATATAAAGTTTTAAAAGTAAAGAATTTAGTTATTTAGTTAAAATAAAAAAATTTAAGAAATTAAGAAATCTAATTGCCATATCCAAACATGAAAATTTCAAAATGAAGAATTTTAATTTCATTACCCAAACACAATAATTTAAGAATGAAGAAATTTTAATTGAAGCAGTTAAAATTCTTGAAATTTAAAACTCCCTAAAATTCAAAAATCCCCTGTCTAAACACGAACTCATGATTCACAAGATTAGTTTGATACATTAAATGCACATACATGTTAATAATATCAAATAGAGCATTGAATAGATGGAAGGCAGAAACACAAAATAACACGCAACTTATAATTTTTTCTTTTATACGACGAATACCATAGAAAAGAGATTAGGAGTCAAGACTACCCACTCCCCTCCTTACCTCGAACAAGGTGCAAATTTTTGAGGTGATCTCCAACCATCACTGATTATCCTAATTCTTCATAGCAAGAGGCATATAGGAGAAGACAAGAATGAGAAACGTAAATGTAAAAACTAACATAAACCCTCTTAAAACTTTCCAACTCACATTTAACGATTAGTAAAACAATTAAGCCATAATTACCTTTCCCTTCTTTAAAATATTTAAAACTTACAAATAATATATAAAATAAACACATTTTTCGCAACACAATTATAAATAAAATAAAATGCATAGAATATATTTTTTAAAATATATTTAATTATATAATTAATTAAAACGCATATTTCATTAATAAATATTATACAAAATAATTTTACAAATATTTGTTATTTAATTAAAAATACTCATTATTAAAAACCTAAAATATATTTTATAAAACTCTTTTTATTAATTAAAACATCTTTTTAATAATTTTAGAAAATTTGAGATATTATAACTGATATTACAATGTAGTTTGGTGTCACTTTTGGCCTTCAAATTAATGTGTGGAAGTCTAGGGCGTTTACCTCCCATGAGGTGACGCAATCTAGGAAGAATGATCTCAATCGCATTTCATCCATTGCTTTTACTACTGATTTGGGTTCTTATTTGGTTTTAAACTATCCCATGGTAGAGTTACAGTCAGTCATTTTAATCATATTATTGACAAGGTTCAAGATCATTTGTCTTCGTTGAAGGGCCAACTCTTGAATAAGGCAGCTAGGTAACACTTTTAGTTTTGTTCTCCATTCCTACTTAAACCATGCAGGTGCAGTGGCTTCCAAAAGGGGTTTGTGATGCTGTGGACAAGTTCACTTGCCAATTTGTTTGGAGTGAGTGCAGTGATCGTTGGTTACATCTTGTCAAGTGGGAAAAGATCTATCTACCTAGGAGGTGTGGGGGCCTTGGTGTGCACCAAGCTCGAACTCAAAATGTTGCTCTCCTCAGGAAGATAGTGTGGGAATTATTGCATGATCAGGACAAAATCTGGGTTAGGCTTGTGTGGGAAGAATATGGGGCACCATTAGTAGCTGCAAGTTTGGAGATGAATGGGTCCTTCTTTTGGTCTTCAATTCATAATGCATATCTAGTCCTCAAAGATGGGTTCCAGTTTCAACTAGGGAAAGGTCACACCAACTTATGGTTTTCCTCGTGGCTGGATGACTCAGCTTTTTGTTCGAAGGTGCCTTACATTCATATTTCTAATTCTGATCTTTGAGTGTGTGACGTTTTTTACCAGGGGTGTGGACATCTAGAAGTGTTACACACTCCTATTCCAGAGAACATCCATTTGAAGATTGAAACATCAATTCTTCATTTGCACCATTCTCTCCCAAATGTTTTTACGTGGTCTAGCTGCATCTCGGACATATATTTGGTGATGAACCCTGTTCAGTGGGATTGGATCTGGTAGGTTAAGTTATTGGAAAGCATAAAACACTTCTTGTGTCAAATTTGTTGTAATGCTCTTCTTTTCTTCTTTCCTCTCTTTTTCTCTTTGTTTTTAACATCATGATTCTACTCTCCAATTACAATGTATAAATTCAATAAAAAGATGTTATTTTTATTATACATTTTTATTACTTTTTCTCTATTCCTCCAGCATATTACATATTTCATTCCATTTTTTTCATTAATATCTTCTTTTATATATGTAAAAAAAAAAAAGATGAAATGGATGTAGCATTTCTCATAAATAAGTTATATTGTTAATGTATTATTCCAACGCGATTTATCAAATAATGGTCGGAGAAAGATACATTGTGAATTTAGTTTTTGTTCATAAATTTTGGGAGATGGTTGTAGAAAAGAAATATTAAGATTTAAAAATAAGTAACTTTATTGGATGACTTTTTATATTTATTACAGAGAGTCGGTAGTTTTAACAATTATGAAGTGTGTAATATGAAACTAATTTAATTGTTATTTGTTTAACTAAATATATAAATTAATTTTTTTTCCATCACTTAAAAGTCACATTCAACTTTATAAACATGCAATATTACTAGTTCACAAATAACTTGCTTTTATGTGTATTATATAAGTTAATCTTTTTTATATTTACATAAAGAATTAAAATGTCATTTGTATTATTTTGTTTCTATTAAACTACAATATTATTATTCTTATATTCACCAAGAGCAACTCCAGGGCAGTTGCTTAGTTGACATCCAATGGAGTACATGATGTGACTTTTCTTATAAGAACGAATTGCTTTTATAAGCAACTATGTAGTTGGTTGCTAGCTATTTTTTACTGATAAAATGATAAGTTGAGATAGAGAAAAAAAAAATAGGAAGAGTTCTTAAGTATGATTTTGTAAGACCCACAAAAAAATCATTTAAGCAACTCTATGAGTATAACATTGGATATGCTCTAAATAGCCCAAAAAGAGCAAGAGTTCCTAAGTATGCTGTTGTAAGACCCACAAAAAGAAAAAATCATTTAAGCAACTGAGTATAACGTTGGATATGCTCTAAATAGGCCAAAAAGAAAGGGCGATTATCTTCTGACACCAAGGGCAAATCAATAAAATTGGCAAAAACTGCTGTGGATTTTCACCTCATCAGGGACAACTGAGAGACAGACGCTAGTGTAATAATTTAGCCAAGTCTTTTACGATTCATACTTGATACGATGGAGGAATTCCCAATAATAGTTTAACATGTGATCAGTAGGTTTCACTCTATCCCACATTCCTGTAATAAATATAGCATATGCATCGGCTGCATACCTGATTTAGAGAGAATCAACATGAATAGAGGGAATAAAGTTGATATATAGCACTACTACCTAAATAATCAACAATAGAGTACACAAAGAATGTAACGTACTTGCCAACACCATGCAGTTGAGTTACATGAGTCCAACTTTCATCCAAGTATTCCTCAGAGAAGCGCTGTAACATTGCCGCCCTTTTGTGTTGAAGGCCTAAACTTTGTATGGTCTTTTCTATTTCCTCTCTGGCAACTTGGGTACAAGATTTTGCATCTGGACATAACTTGAAAAGGTCTGACACAATCTTTTTTGCCTGCATTATGCAAAATAATCCAATCTCAAAACAGTGCACATGTCCGTCTATAATTTCAATTCTACACCCACACCTAATGGTCCATCTTAATTTATAGGAAAACTCAAGTGCAGAAGGTATGTTTTAACAAAAAGCAGAAGTACCTGACTCATAAGTTACACTTATTCTCAAACCATGCACCTACCTAATCACATTACTCACTGTAAATCATAAATGAATTGATGGACCTTAAATCCAAATTCAACAACCAATACGAATAAGACTTGGAAGAAAAATACAGAGAAACCCAATAAAACATCAAAATTAGTAGCAGAGGTAACCCCATTAAAATTCAAGTGTGCCTATCGAACACACCCCAGATGATGGCATAAAGTGTAGACTGCAATTGAATCACAGCATACACCAAGTAGCCAATAGTCTGCACAAGACTTGCACATGACATATAAATCAGGATAAAGAGTAAAACAAGAATTATGAACCACGTATTGATCTTCTCAATTAAAATAGGCCTTATGAGATGCAACTTGCCAAGCACATGACTGGATGGAGATTCAACAGCTTGAAAGTCATTGACTGAGGTCCCCAGAAAAGAGTAGATGTTGCCCAAAATTAAAAGTTGGCTAAACTGAGTCTTTAAACTCAAATCAGAATATAAATATGGAATGTAGCTAACTTTGACCACAAACCAAAGAGGCAAAGACATCGTATATGATGATTGAGATCAAGAATAAAACATTGGCCTAGAATAGAGCTAAAATGCAAAATAGATGATGCAAACAATTAAAGACTCTAGATACTAATAAATTATCAGGTGAATAATTGAATATACCTGTCTACCAGTAGTCCGATTGAGAAGCATACAAATAACCAACACCCTCCAAGGGTCGTGAATGTGATCCTCTTGAATGAGACCAGTTGCAGACCGTGGAGGCTTCCATGTATTATCAGGAGTTCTTCTTTTGTAAGCCTCATCCCATATCTCTAACGCAGAAAGCTTTCTTTTAATTTCAATTGATTCTTCACTGCAACTAGACGTATTTACCTCCAGTTGATCCTCCGCGGAGTTTTCAAAGGCATGTAAATCAATGGATTCAGATTTGCTGTGCTTAACCAAAGGTTTGACATTAATCTTCTTACCATTGTCATTATGAAAATAAGGGGAAACATATCTAATACCATGGGCAACATTTTTCTGAACTATAGGTTTTGTCTTCTTGGATTTAATTTTACTAGTTGTGGCCTCATTTCCATTCTCTCGCAGTTTATTTGAAATGGCTCTCTTCTTGAAATTAATCTTTCCATTTTCCAATACATTTCCATCCTCTAGCAGCTTATGTTCAAGGAGCCTACCACCAGTACTAGGTAAAGCATGCGATCCAATCTCACTGTCAAGACAACGTGATTCAGCACCATCCTTCTTCACAATGTAACTTTGAAAGGAAGGAGAAACCTTTCGAATTTGAGCATGCTCAGCTGTCTCATCCTTTGTAGATGCTCGCTTGCCTTCATATTTAAAATTTTCAATTGGAATTTTATCTCCAAAAGTACAAGTACGCATTAAAGCAATAGAATCAAGGTCACTTTCAAGATCATGTTCTTTTACATTAACTGTCTTCACATCGTCATTCTGAAAGTAAGGAGAAACCTTCCGAACCTTGGGATGCTCCTCAGCTGTTTTCCTACTATTGGATTTTCTCTCCTTTGAATTACCTTTGATGGTTTCAATTTCATTTCTACTTTTCTCAGATAAGTCTCCAGAAGCAACTGTTAACACAATAGAATCAGCATTAGCTTCAAGTACCTGTTGTTTAACATTCTTCCCTCCATTATTTTCCACCAGTTTATCCTCAATGAAATTTCCAAAGGTAGGTAAAACAATGGATTCAGTCTTGCTTTCCTTATTCAATGGTTGAACGTTAAACTTCATCCCACTGCCATTATGAAAATAAGGGGAAACATATCTAACACCAACTTGGACTATATTTTTCTGAACCACAGATTTAGTCTTCTTGGGTTTAACATTACAAGTTTCAGCATCATTTCCATTCTCATGCAGCTTATTTGCAACGACTTTCTTCTTTCTCAAATTATTCATTCCATTTTCAATTGCAATTGTATCTCCATACTTACCCACTGAAGCAACAGAATCAAAATCATTTTTATGATCAATTGCTTCCAAATTAACTGTTTTCTCATTGTCATTCTGAAAGTAAGGAGAAACCTTTCGAACCTTGTCACGCTCCTCTGCAGTTTTTTGATTATTGGATTTTGTCTTCTTGGATTTAACTTTAATGGTTTCAATTTCTTTTCCTTTTTCTTGCTGTTCCTCAAAGTCTCTAGAAGCAACATTAAACACAACAGAATCAATATGACTATCAAGTCCCTGTTGTTTAATCTTCTCCCCACTATTATTTCCCTCCAGTTTATTCTCAATGGAATTTCCAAAGGTGGGTAAAGCAATGGATCCAGATGTGCTATCCATATTCAATGGTTTATCTTTAATCATCTCCACACTATCATTATGATAAAAAGGGGAAATGTATCTAACACCAACTTTAGCTATATTTTTCTGAACCACAGATTTCATCTTCATGGGTTTAACATTACAGGTTTCAGCATTTTTTCTTTTCTCTTGAAGCTTATTTGCAACGGTTTTGTTCTTCTTGAATTTATATGTTCCATTTTCCATTTCATTTCCATCCTCCAGCAGCTTACCTCCAGGGAAGCAACTACCAATACCTGATGAAGCAACAGATCCAATCTCACAACATGAATCAGCATCAACCATTTTCTCATTGTCACGTTGAAAGAAAGGAGAAAGTTGAATTAGATCATGTTCAACAGACTCAAGCTTCTTGTATGTTCTCTTGCCTTTGAATTTAATCTTTTCAATTGCAATTTTATCTCCATTATCTTCCTCCCTGTCTTGCATCCTGTATCCACAAGTATCCATTAATGCAACAGAATCAAAGTCATTTTCATGATCAATTGTTTCTACTACAACAGTCTTCTTCACATTGTCAATCTGAAAGTACGGAGAGACATTTCTAATCCTGGCACTCTCTTCAGCAGTTTTCTGGCTATTAGATTTTCTCTTCTTGGATTTCATGCTAACAGATTCAAATCCATTTCCTTTTTCTTTCAGCTCATCCTCAAAGAAGTCTCTGCAAGCAGAAGTCATAACAGAATCAACATTACATTCAAGTCCCTGTTGATTAACCTGCATCCTGCTACAACCGTTCTCCAGTTTATCCCCCATCAAGTCTCCAAAGGTAGGTAATGCAAAGGGTTCAGATTTGCTTTCCTTAACCAATGGTTTGCCATTAATCTTCTTTGCAGTGTCATTACGAAAATAAGGTGAAACATATCTAACACCAACCTGAACTATATTTTTATGAACTTCAGGTCCCATTTTCTTGAAATTGAATTTACTGGTTTCAGCATCATCATCATTCTCCTGCAGCTCATCCTCAACTGCTATCTTCTTCTTTTTCTTCTTTTCCATGGATTTAATCTTTCCATCTTCCAGCAGCTTTTCTTCAACAAATCCAATGTCACAGCCATAACAACACAATTCAGGATCAATCTTCTCGTTGTTACCACTTAGAGGCTCATGCTTGAGTATGAATTTACTGGTTTCAGCTTCACCACAATGCACCCACAGCTTATCCTCAATTCTTCATCTTTTTCTTTTCCTTGGATTTATTCTTTCCATCTGCCAGAAGCTTTTCTTCAACAAATCCAACGTTACAGCCATAAATACATGATTCAGGATCATTCTTCTCCTTGTCACCTTGAAGCTCATGCTTTTTGAGTATGAATTTATTAGTTTCAGCATCATCACCATTCTTCTGCAGCTCATCTTCAACAACTTTCTTCTTCTTCTCCTTGAATTTAATCTTTCGATCTGCCAGAAGCTTATCTTCTACAAATCCAATGTCACAGCCACAAAAACACAGTTCAGGAGGCATCTTACAGCCATAACAACACGATTCAGGATCATTTTTCTCCTTATTGTTTCCTTGAGGTTCACGCTTTTTGAGTATGAATTTACTTATTTCAGCATCATCGTCATTCTCCCACAGCTCATCATCAACCAATTTCTTCTTCTTCTTTTCCTTGGATTTAATCATTCCATCCGCCAGCAGCTTATCTTCTACAAATCCAATGTCACAGCCATAACAACACAATTCAGGATCAATCTTCTCATTGTTGCCACATAGAGGCTCATGCTTGAGTATGAATTTACTGGTTTCAGCTTCACCACCATGGCCCCACAGCTTATCCTCAACCACTTTCTTCTTCATCTTCTTCTTTTCCTTGGATTTATTCTTTCCATCTGCCAGAAGCTTTTCTTCAACAAATCCAACATTACAGCCATAAATACATGATTCAGAATCATTCTTCTCCTTGTCACCTTGAAGCTCATGCTTTTTGAGCATGAATTTATTAGTTTCAGCATCATCACCATTGTTCTGCAGCTCATCTTCAACAACTTTCTTCTTCTTCTCCTCGAATTTAATCTTTTGATCTGCCAGAAGCTTATCTTCTACAACTCCAATGTCACAGCCACAACAACACAGTTCAGGAGGCATGTTACAGCCATAACAACACGATTCAGGATCATTTTTCTCCTTATTGTTTCCTTGAGGTTCACGCTTTTTGAGTATGAATTTACTTATTTCAGCATCATCGTCATTCTCCCACAGCTCATCGTCAACCAATTTCTTCTTCTTCTTTTCCTTGGATTTAATCTTTCCATCTGCCAGCAGCTTATCTTCTACAAATCCAATGTCACAGCCATAACAACACAATTCAGGATCAATCTTCTCGTTGTTGCCACCTAGAGGCTCATGCTTGAGTATGAATTTACTGGTTTCAGCTTCACCACCATGCCCCCACAGCTTATCCTCAACCACTCTCTTCTTCATCTTTTTCTTTTCCTTGGATTTATTCTTTCCATCTGCCAGAAGCTTTTCTTCAACAAATCCAACGTTACAGCCATAAATACATGATTCAGGATCATTCTTCTCCTTGTCACCTTGAAGCTCATGCTTTTTGAGTATGAATTTATTAGTTTCAGCATCATCACCATTCTTCTGCAGATCATCTTCAACAACTTTCTTCTTCTTCTCCTTGAATTTAATCTTTCGATCTGCCAGAAGCTTATCTTCTACAAATCCAATGTCACAGCCACAACAACACAGTTCAGGAGGCATGTTACAGCCATAACAACACGATTCAGGATCATTTTTCTCCTTATTGTTTCCTTGAGGTTCACGCTTTTTGAGTATGAATTTACTTATTTCAGCATCGTCGTCATGCTCCCACAGCTCATCGTCAACCAATTTCTTCTTCTTCTTTTCCTTGGATTTAATCTTTCCATCCGCCAGCATCTTATCTTCTACAAATCCAATGTCACAGCCATAACAACACAATTCAGGATCAATCTTCTCCTTAATGTCACCTTGAGGTTCATGCTTATTGCGTATGAATTTACTGAATTCAGCTTCACCACCATGCTCCCGCAGCTTATCCTCAACCGCTTTCTTCTTCTTCATCTCCTTCTTCTTGTCCTTGGATTTAATTTTTCCATCTGCCAGCAGCTTTTCTTCAACAAATGCAATGTTACAGCCAAAACAACATGACTCAGGATCATTCTTCTCCTTACTGTCACCCTGAGGCTCATGCTTCTTGAGTATGAATTTACTTATTTCATTATCATCACCATGCTCCCGCAGCTTATCCTCAACCAATTTCTTCTTCTTCTTCTTTTCCTTGGATTTAACCTTTCCATCTGCCAGCAACTTATCTTCGACAAATCCAATGTCACAGCCATAACAACACAACTCAGGATCAATCTTCTCCTTGTTGTCACTTTGAGGCTCATGCTTCTTGAGTATGAATTTACTTGTTTCAGCTTCACCACCATGCTCCCGCAGCTTATCCTCAACCGCTTTCTTCTTCTTCTTCTTGTCCTTGGATTTAATTTTTCCATCTTCCAGCAGCTTTTCTTCAGAAAATCCAATTTTACAGCCATAACAACACGATTCACGGTCATTCTTCTCCTTATTGTCACCCAGAGGCTCACTCATTTTGAGTATGAATTTATTTGTTTCAGCATCATCACCATTCTTCCGCAGCTCATCCTCAACCACTTTCCTCCTCTTCTTTTCCTTGGATTTAATCTTTCCATCTGCCAGCAGCTTATCTTCTACAAATCCAATGTCACAGCCATAATAACACGATTCATGAGGAATCTTCTCTCCGATGTCACCTTGCGGTTCATGTGACCGTCTCTTCCTTTTCGATTTGATCTTTTCAATTGCAATTTCATCTCCATTCCCTTTACTACCATAACAACATGATTCAGCATCAACCTTCTTCTCGTAGTCACCTTGAGGACCATGCTTCTTCAACCTTCTCTTCCTTTTGGATTTCATCTTTTCAATTGCAATTTCATCTCTATTGTCTTCCCCATTAACCTGCATGAATTTTCCACAAGCAGTCATGAAAGTAACAAATGAAGAAAAAGAAAACCATTTTTCCTATTTCGGTCTAGCTTATTCTAAAGGGAAAAAAAATCACTTTTTTCTCTAGTTTCCTGGTAGCTATCTTCAAATAGACAAGAATTGTTTCTTCATATGTATGCATTACCAAACATGCTATTAAGGCCACTTACTCCCTTCTCCTCAAAGCCATTCCGGAAGTATGGAGAAACCTTTGGAACTTTCTCAAGCTTTTTAGATGTTCTCTTTCCATAATTGGTTTTGGTGTTTCCAATTCCAATTTCATTCCCATTCCTTTCCAAATCATGTTCAATCACCCTCTTTCTTTTCTTATCAACTTCTTTATTATTCCTCTCCGGCTTCTTTACCTCTTTCTGGGCAGGCACCGCTAATATGCACTCCATTCTCCTACAAATATATAACAAAAAAATATATGCTTGAAAATGCAAATAATTGTCAGAAATAAAAATATAACTCAAGACCCTTATCTGTCACACTCTTTATTTTAATTTTTTTACTATTCATAAAAAATTAGGATGAGATGGTGTCTCAGTCCAAACCAAAGAAAGCCTTGAGACTCAAAAAGCTCTTTAACACACTCTTTATAATATGAGTATGGCTAATTAAATAAACAGTGAGACCACACAACTTAGTGAGAGAGAGATAGAAATACAATATAGAAAGACACAAAGAATATAAATAATGTGAAAAAGGTCACCATAGAATCTCTATCTTCCAGATTTTTCTCCACCTATGCTATTCGCACCAGTAATCAATTGTTAAAGGGGTTTTAGGTTTGAAATGAAGCGTGAAAGGAGAGAACAAAACGAAAAAAAAAAAAAAAAAAA